GCAAGCCTTGTGTTCCTGCACAGCCTGGATTATTTGCTTTGCGGGGGACATTTCTCTGCAGGCCACCGACATTTTCTCGTGGACCACCAGCGGTCCCCAGGCCCACCGGTTGGCGACCACTGTGCTAAAAGCATCCTTGGGCCTCTGATCTTGGCTTCTCCTTGATAAACCCAGGGAAAGAAAGCATGAAAAAAAAACTCAAACCTTGGGTTTGAGTCAAATGTCTCTTTGAACCCGTTGAACCCATCTAGAATTGCAAAATGAGCGATGGCATATTTGAGCCAAGTTTCGCTCGAGAAAACATCCTTGTTCCAAGCCAAACACAGGATTTTAAGAGAGCCAAGGACAACAAGCAGAGAGAAAGAGAGAGAGAGAGAGAGGGAGGACTACCGAAAAGGATCCCATGTGGAGCAATCCTCAGGACAATTGGAAAGTCTGCCCCCCAAAAGAATAAAATAGAATAGAATAGAACAGAACTGGAGACCCTACCCCATTTCTGACTGAGGGGAGTCCAGTCTCTTCTTGAAAGCCTCCAGGGATGAAGTTCCCACAACTTCTGAAGGCAACTTCTGTTCCATTAATTAATTGTTCTCACTGTCAGAAACTTCCTCCTTATTTCCAGGTTGAATCTCTCCTTGTTCAGTTTCCATCCATTCTTTCTTGTCTGGCCTTCAGATGCTTTTGAGAATAGCTTGACCCCCTTCCTCCTCTCTGGGGCAGCCCCTCAAATATTGGAAGATGCTCTCCTGTCTCCCCTGGTCCTTCTCTTCCCTAGACTAGCCAGGCCCAGTTCCTGCAACCGTCCATCGTATGTTTGAGCCTCCAGTCCCCTCATCCTCCTGGTTGCTCTTCTCTGCACTTTTTCCAGAGTCTCAACATCTTTTTTTCATATCATGTTGATTAAAACTGGATGCCGTATTCCAAGTGTGGCCTTACCAAGGCCTTCTAAAGTGGTACTAACACTTCATGTGACTTAGATTCGATCCCCCTGTTAATGCCATCTAGGATGACATTGGCTTTTGGGGCTGCTGCTACACGTGACTGGCTCCTATTTAGCTGATTGTCTGCTGGGATCCCGGAAGGATAATCTTGAGTTCTTCCCAAGAGGAAAATAAAACGTGGAATTCATTTAGCAAGCCATGGTAGATACAGAAGGCTTGTTTGTTTGTTTTGAAGGAGCTAGGCGCTGAAAAGGACGTGCCCAAGGAAAGGAAGAATCGTAGAATTGCAGAATCAGACCGGAAGGGACCTTGGAGGTCATCTAGTCCAACCCCCCCTGCCCAAGGCAGGAGTCCTTATAAAATCCGGGAGAAATGGTTGCGCAATCTTTTCTTGAAAACTTCCAGGGAGAATTTTCTAAACAGCAACTTACCAGCTACTGGCAAGTACCAAATTCCTGCAGAAAAACAGCCTCAAAAGACAAGCGAAAAGCAACAAAAAAAACGCGTTTCTGGTTATGTTAGGAGGAAAAGGGAAATTAACAATAAGAAAAGGGTGCCCTGCGACCAGGAGAAGTGGCCAGATATTGGCAGGGGGTGGCAAAGAGTCGACCGTTTAACTCATGTAGAGACAATCCCTCCCTTACGACGACCATTAGAACCAGAACTTTAGTCGCTAAGCAGGGAAAGAGAGTCACTTGACAGATACACATTGACAGAGTTGGAAGGGACCTTGTAGACCATCTAGTCTGACCCCCCCTCCCGCCCAAGCAGACACTACACCGTTTTTGACAAATGGCAGTCCAGTCTCTTCTTGAAAGCTTAATGGGTGTTCTAACCTTTAATTTCCCCGTCCCGGTTGTTAAGCGAATCACCCTGGTTGTTAAGTGAGTCACATGGTCGCTAAGTGGATCCAGCTACCTCCCACCCCCAGCTGGCGATCACGTGATCCCCGGGATGCTGCAACCATGATAAATGACATGCCGGTTGCCAAGCATCCAAATTTGGACCACGTCACCATGGGGAGGATGCTGTGTCCTCGGTCGTAAGTGCGAGGACTCGTGGCCAGTTTTCATCCGTCTCTTTGACCCGTTTGAGTCGAGAGCCCCCTGGATTTGGGCTTCCATCTTCCTCCCGGGAGGGCGTGGCTCATGGGTTTAGGATGTTGGTTTTTCATTTGTGGGAAAATGCTCTTGAGTTGCGCAGCACTGTCGGTCCTTGGGAGCGGGACAGGCTCGACAACTCAGCGGGTAAAACAAAAATAAATAAACACAGCCCATGGTCCACACACACACACACACACACACACACACACACACCCTCCCCGCGGAAGGGGCCCCCCCCCCCCCACAGCCTCTCCTCCTCCCCTCCCCCGCCCCCCCAAGGCCTTTGATCTGTGCATGGACCAAATCCGGGGAATAAGCAATTTTTAATAATGCCTTAATCTGTGCCATCTTTTAATCACCTTTTAATTAGTTTTTACTTGTTTGATAACTTGTAAGACACCCAGAGTCACCTGGAGGGGGGATGGGTGGGATAAAACATGAATAAAAACAGTTTTCCTCCTCCTCCTTCTTCTCTTCCTCCTCCTCCTCTTCCTCCTCCTCCTCCTTCTTCTCCTCCTCCTCCTCTTCCATTTCTTCTCCTCCATTTCTTCCCCTCCTCCTCCTTCTCCTCCTCCTCCATTTCTTCTCCTCCTCCATTTCTCCTCTTCCTCCTCCTCTTCCTCCTCCTCCTCCATTTCTTCTCCTCCTCCATTTCTTCTCCTTCTCCATTTCTCCTCCTCCTCCTCCTCCTCCTCCTCCTCCTCCTCCATTTCTTCTCCTCCCCCTTTCT